ATGTGCAGTTTATTTTAAGTCTACATTCTTTATATGATTAAACAGTAAAACAGAGGCCCTAATGAAGTAGCCTGTATAAAGTAGTTTATTGACAGTGTTCACGATTGTCAGTCGTTTTATTGTCAATCCCTGTGTGACTATGCTTACATAATTAATTGTATTTACTATTTTTCCTGTTTGTATACCAGGCTTTCATTTTAAGAATATATAGGCGGAGTTCAACCGATGGACCACTTCAGCCTCGTGAAGTTGTAGCTCGAGTTCAGCCATCTTGGAGATCAGTTTCTAGAAGACACAATGTCTCTGTTCACTTGCCTGGTTCTTCTGTGTGTGTGCGGCCTGGCCACAGCGTCCGTTCGAATACGTAATTATAGATCTGAAGTTTTACATCTGTCTGTCTATTCTGTTGATCTATTCATCAAATGATCGATCTGTCTGTCTGTCTGTCTGTCTGTCTGTCTGTCTGTCTGTCTGTCTGTCTGTCTGTCTGTCTGTCTGTCTGTCTGTCTGTCTGTCTGTCTGTCTGTCTGTCTGTCTGTCTGTCTGTCTGTCTGTCTGTCTGTCTGTCTGTCTGTCTGTCTGTCTCTTTTAGACAGAGATTAGAACCAAAAAGAGATCTGTTGAAATAGTACACGAATAAATGAGCTCTAATAATAGTGGGGGGGGGGGGGGGGTCTGTGCCGTAGTGGCTAGACGCTCGCGTGCGGATCGGAAGGTCGTGGGCTCGCTCCCTAAGGAAACCGAACTTTTTTTCAAAAATGACCTTGACTCCCATGTCGACCCATCCTCAAGTGGGTACCTGGTGTAGTCCCGGGAAGTAAAGGCGACAGGCGTGATGCTGACCACAATACCCATCATGTGCCGATTGGTCTATAAAAAAATATAGGTCTAGTCCTAAATGCCTTATACGCCTAAAGACGTGAAAAGGGGACCTTTACTTTTACTTTTTTTTTTTCTTTTAAAGTAAATTAATGTTGAAACATTTTAATGAAAATAAAGAAAGAAATGTAAAAATATTCGTTTAAGAAATGCGAAGGCCACAACCAGATGCCCGCCTCCCCCCCCCCCCCAATTATCTCTGAAGGTCTCAAATGTCCATGCACTTGTGTCTGGCCAGGTACCAGTCGTCGCAACTGTCGGATCAGTGGCCAGGTGTATCGACACAGCCATCTAACCCCTGACCCTTGTGAAAGGTGTTGGTGCAACAATGGATTTGAGGATTGTTTCAGAACCCAGTGTCAGCTTGGTAAGTTCTGATATCCGTGTGTATGTTGCGTTATGTAATCACGGGCACCTCTGCCTCAATCATTCAATCAGGTGCCGTAATTACAATGAAGTTTGACTGCAATGAGTCTCCAACACTCTCTGTTTCTTGTCTTGGTTTCACTCTCTCTCTCTCCCAGACTCTGTTCGTCTATTTCTTTATATTGTCCTCTCACTTGTAACGTTGTCTTCCTATTGCTCTCTTATCCTCGACTGTGCTCCTCCAGCATGGGTTTCAAAAGCGTGTTATGCTTTTAATGGGGCGAAGTTATTTAAGTTGCCTACATAATTGCATAATTTCATAATAACTACATGTAAGCATACATCATCATCATCATGTTGCAGGTGCTTTGCAGAACGTCGTTCTCATCATGGTTTGCCTGAAAGAAACTCGGCCTCTCGCCAGTTCTCACGCCTCATGCACTTTCATACTCAAGTAGTCACTTATATCATGTGCCCATCTTCGTGTCGGTCGGCCCCTGCCCTCCTTCCTGAGACCATGCTTTCTGCTATAATGTTTTCTAATCCGTCGTGGCGCCTAATATGACCAAACTATTTCAGCTTCCGAGACAGGATGCTGTTTATTTTCCAATCCTGTTTGATGTTCAGATCTTTCAAGATGCCACTTTTTCTCCTCTAGCTTGTCCAAGATATTATGAGAATCGTTCTATAGCATTTCAGATCCAAAGCCCCTATTCTCCTTTTTAAGAACTGAGAGATAGTCCACGACTCACATCCGTATGTTACTACATGGAAAATGCATTCTCTCAAAATTTCTCCTTTCTAGTGCTTAACCATAGACTTTTAAGGCTGTTTAGTCTTTGCATTGCTATGGCCATTCTCCTTATAAGTTCTGTCAAACAGTCTCCATTGCTATTCATTAAAGAGCCTAGATATTCAAAGTTTGTGAGATTTTTAATTTCTTCATCATTTATTATTATTCTTGGGTGGCAGCCAGTTTTATCTGTAGACATTATTTTCGTTTTCTTTAAATTCAAGAACAGATTTTGATCCAAACCTTTTTTTTTTTTTTAAACTGACAATATTAAATTTTCTATTCCCTTTACTTTGTTTGAAAGGAGGTCTGTGTCATCTGCGTAGCGAATTTCCGGAATAGGGTTGCCACCAATTTTGAGCGAATCATAACTGTCACAAGTCTGGTCATTTTTGACATTTCTCATTAAATTGTCTGCGTATATGTTGAATAGGTATGGTGAGAGAATGCACCCCTGCCTCACTCCCTTCTGCACCTCGAACCCATCTGATGTTTCACCAGCTGCTCTGATGGCTGCTTGTTGTTCAAGATAACGATTGTTAATTAAATGCACTAAATGCGCTGGAAACCCCATACTTCTCATATTAGTCCAAAGTTTATGATGCTGGACACAATCAAAAGCCTAACTATAATCAATGAAACCAGCATGAAGATCTACGTTGTATTCTATGCATTTTTCAAAAATTATTCTCATATTAAAGATGTGATCCCTAGTTCCTCTATCCTGTCTGAAACCCGCTTGTGCTTCATCTAGCTCATATTGTTATTTCCTTTCAATCCTCTTTATGATAATTTATAATATGATTTTGCTAACATGACTTATGTAAGCATACATGCCAAGTAATATACCCATTTTTATATATATATACATACACACACATACACACACACCAAAATACTAACATCGCTGGGTTAAAACACAAAGTTGGCGTTTTTGGACTATGCAGATGATACATCTCAGACAATCAGCTACAAGAGCAAGAGGACGGCCGAGGAAAACATGAATTGACAACATTAAGGACACTTTAAGCCTTCACGTTAGGCCCGTGGCAGCCAGCTTGCACTGGATCGCAAATTATTCCTCCCCACCCCGCTTATCGAAATGACTGGCTTATGAAGATGATAATGATGAGATCGCAATGCTACGTCTGTGGCTCACGTGTTGCGAACCCGCTTCCTAACGATGGTTTGCCGGGTTCGATCCCGGCTGCTGACGATTTGCCTTTCGTGTTGGTTTCGATAGTGGACCTAAGGGCTGATCGTTCAGTGGCAATGGCAAACTAACGAACTACAATTTGCCAAGAAAAACCACAAATCAGCTAAAGAACGTTTCTCACTCTTTTTGTCATGTCATATCTGGTAACAGATTCATGTCATTCTACTCCTTGTCCACCCCACATAGCCAACTGTGTCATCGACTCATGTCATTCTACTCCTTGTCCACCGAACCTAGCCAACTGTGTCATCTACTCATGTCATTCTACTCCTTGTCCACCCCACATAGCCAACTGTGTCATCGACTCATGTCATTCTACTCCTTGTCCACCCCACATAGCCAACTGTGTCATCGACTCATGTCATTCTACTCCTTGTCCACCGAACCTAGCCAACTGTGTCATCGACTCATGTCATTCTACTCCTTGTCCACCCCACATAGCCAACTGTGTCATCGACTCATGTCATTCTACTCCTTGTCCACCCCACATAGCCAACTGTGTCATCGACTCATGTCATTCTACTCCTTGTCCACCGAACGACTAGCCAACTGTGTCATCGACTCATGTCATTCTACTCCTTGTCCACCCCAGCCAACTAGCCAACTGTGTCATCGACTCATGTCATTCTACTCCTTGTCCACCCCACATAGCCAACTGTGTCATCGACTCATGTCATTCTACTCCTTGTCCACCCCACATAGCCAACTGTGTCATCGACTCATGTCATTCTACTCCTTGTCCACCCAACTGTGTCATCATAGCCATTCTACTGTGTCACCCGACTAGCCAACTGTGTCATCGTCATGTCATTCTACTCCTGTCCACCCCACCAACCACATAGCCAACTGTGTCATCGACTCATGTCATTCTACTCCTTGTCCACCCCACATAGCCAACTGTGTCATCGACTCATGTCATTCTACTCCTTGTCCACCCCACATAGCCAACTGTGTCATCGACTCATGTCATTCTACTCCTTGTCCACCCCACATAGCCAACTGTGTCATCGACTCATGTCATTCTACTCCTTGTCCACCCCACATAGCCAACTGTGTCATCGACTCATGTCATTCTACTCCTTGTCCACGACCCACACCCCACATAGCCAACTGTGTCATCGACTCATGTCATTCTACTCCTTGTCCACCCCACATAGCCAACTGTGTCATCGACTCATGTCATTCTACTCCTTGTCCACCCCACATAGCCAACTGTGTCATCGACTCATGTCATTCTACTCCTTGTCCACCCCACATAGCCAACTGTGTCATCGACTCATGTCATTCATGTCACTGTGTCATCGACTCATGTCATTCTACTCCTTGTCCACCCCACATAGCCAACTGTGTCATCGACTCATGTCATTCTACTCCTTGTCCACCCCACATAGCCAACTGTGTCAGACTCATGTCATTCTACTCCTTGTCCACCCCACATAGCCAACTGTGTCATCGACTCATGTCATTCTACTCCTTGTCCACCCCACATAGCCAACTGTGTCATCGACTCATGTCATTCTACTCCTTGTCCACCCCACATAGCCAACTGTGTCATCGACTCATGTCATTCTACTCCTTGTCCACCCCACATAGCCAACTGTGTCATCGACTCATGTCATTCTACTCCTTGTCCACCCCACATAGCCAACTGTGTCATCGACTCATGTCATTCTACTCCTTGTCCACCCCACATAGCCAACTGTGTCATCGACTCATGTCATTCTACTCCTTGTCCACCCCACATAGCCAACTGTGTCATCGACGGCAAAGTGTACAGGGACGGGGAAGCGACCGGTGATCCGTGTAACAGATGTTGGTGCTACAGGGGGCGGGAGGTTTGTGAGCAACGTGCCTGCAGCTATGGTATGTCTTAGTTTCTGTCTGTCTACATGTATGTCTGCCTATTTCTCTCTCTCCCTCCATCCACCCTCTCTCTCTCTCTCCCCTCTCTCTCTCTCTCTCTTTCCCTCTGTCTTTCTCCCTCTCTCTCTAATGATACTTTTAATAATAATAATAACAGTAGTAATTATTATTAGGTATGACTCGCAAAAGAAATTAAATAATAATTCAAATAGTGTGAAATGTAAAAGCAAACACTTTATGAGACAGTGTCTATACTTGGTTAGCGTTGCTACTTTTTGCTTTTGCAAACAGTCTAGAGATTTTAAAAAAATTGAAGAAGAAGGTCCGTGGGGTTGAGGGGGGGGGGGGGGGGGGGGGGGGGAAGGAGTCTTCATTTATCCTAAAATTGTAGATGTTGAAAAGACAAAAGGAGGTGACCTATTACTGAAGAAGAGCAAGTAACTGAAAGATAAGACAGAAAATATAACACAGGCATTTGCTGTTACCAAATAAAGATACAGGCAACCACAGTGAGTGGGAAGTACTACCAATAAAAGCAGCAGAAGTAGAAGCTGCTATACAACACAGAAAAGAAGGCAATGCCCCTAGCCTGACTAAAAAAAAAATTATAACAATCGGAGAAATAAAAACTTGTGTTCAGTCAAGTATAATTATATTTCAACAATTACAAAATATGATGAGGCCTCACATCTGTTTTCATTCCCTGAAAAAAAAAAAATCTCTCTTTTCTTCTTCTTAGTTTTCAACTATGGCAGAAAGGTCCAATTGTTGGTCCACATTTAGATGTTAGTCTTATTACAGAACTAGTTTTGTGTACATATCCGTTTTAAAGATGTCTCCTTGTTACGATGACGTAATGAGCTGGGGAAATGACTCTAATAATACTGTTAGAAGAGCATCATTGAAAGGCTGCGAAATCTCATTGTCCTAGTCACCTAGACACCAACGGTGTCTAAATTACACAGCTGAGTCAATGATAGGCTTTCTATAGCACACGGAGTTGACAAATAATGATTAAGCTAATTCTTGTTCGGGTAAAATTACCGATGGTCTCCCCACTTCCGCCTATATACACACTAGCTCAATTTTTGATTTGTAGTTCCTGAACCTGTAACCTTGGCACAATATTTTAGGGGTGTTTCACAATGTCGTTGATATCGCGTGTCGTATATTTCAGCACGCCAGCTGACCACGTTTTTAACACTCAAAAAACACAGAGAAACTGGTGCTAACACAACCCACTTAGAAAGTGCTGCAACCTATGTCGCAGGTATTCTCTTTCTCTAAATGAAAACGTAAATGCAAGACATCACAGAAGGCAAACAACAGAGAGGGACACACACGTAAACTTCAGGAAAGTCGAGCAGCCCAACAAACTTATAAATGAACAGTGACGTACACTATGTGGGGAGATTAACAGGACCCTAATTCAAGTTCCATATTGTGTAAGTTACATAGTTGTCTTCGGGTGCTGCTGTTTCGTTTTGGGTTCAGAATCGGTGATTACCCGGCTCAGTCGTAACAACTGATTAGGGTAATTACTGACATAAATAAACACAAAGCTTTGTTTGATACGATCGCCTGCATAGTCATCTTAACTCGAACGTTTTGGCTCCACACAGTAGACATGCTTTAACAGCTCTCTTCGGGAAAGACAAAGTCGTGGTCTCATGACCGCTATCGGCTGCTTGGAAATATTCAAATATCTGGCTTATGCACTCTCAATCGATCGCTCCAATGCCATAAGTAAGAAGAAACTCCACAGGGAAGTATGTACAGCAGGGGTCTACCAATCATCAGTAGAAGTAACCTCTCGCCGACAAATGTTTCTTCCCACGAGCTCCTAGACATTTTCAGAGAGTGGGCCCACCTGAGTTCATGAAGCTCAGTGTTGGTTTCCCCTGCTGCACGAATTACCGGATGATGTTCGGATAGGGACAAGACGATTGGTGATTTTGCAGAAGGTACTGTGAGATAAGAAGTCGTCGCGGTAGCATAATTAAAGCAGTCTGTGTACCTGGACGACGCAAGCTTACGATTGGTATACCGGATATATGTTGGACTTTGTTTGCAGGTGGCAGAGGGACACTGGCAGACAATAATAGATTTGATTTGATTTGATTCAAGAACCGACATCACAACACTCGGGGCATTCCCATAAGCCCCCTGACCCCATCTTTAGCAGCCAGCTAATAGTTCCGATACTTATGGTGCCAGTAGCATTCTGATTAACGTCTGTCTTGCCTTTCCTCTTAGCCTCGAGCATCTGCCAAAACCTCTCGTCACCCCCAACTGCATCAATCTCACCAGACTGTGGTGACCCATCTGCTCCTCCGAACTGTACACGCTCTCCCACACGGCACTAACCACGTCTGTCTTATCATGTATCTAGTATTCCACCAAGTTTTGCAGAGCCAGACAGTCCGTCCGCCTGTTCATTTCCCAACACACCGGCGTGCCCTGGTGACAAAAATCCAGACAATACACCTCACCCGTGTCATCTGCACGAAGCATGCCTGACCTGATCTTCTTCAGCATGCTTTCTGAGTCAGTTACAATCACGCTGTGTATGTATGTGTCATGTTCTCTAACCAGCGGAAAGCTGCAGTGATCGCCTCCACCTCCATTCGTAAGCTGGATGTATATAAAATAATAGAATGAGGTTAAACCCTTTCTCTTTTCATTCCACGCACTACTCTGTTTTCTACGCATAAACTCACAGTCGCTTGGTTTTTTCCGAACAATCGTCTGCTTCCAGTTGTTATCCAATATGGTCGTTCACCCTGATAGGCTCTGCTCATTCACACAACTGATTCTTACGTAGAACACAAATCATTATAATTGGATACCAAAAGGCAACATGTTGGAGCTGTGCCGTAACCACTTACTGCGAACCGAGGGCAAAGTGGGGACTAAGGCGTATGATCGGATGAAGCTGGCTCACTCCAGGCGTGGTATGATATTGCTTATCGAAGGCAGGTTAATTCTTGAGCTAGCACATCTTATGGAGACTATTATTAATGGATTTACATTAGCGATAAGTCGATGTTCTTATTGGTTCACATTAGTCTTGAAGCACAACAAGAGAGGAATACCGGGAATCCCGACCCCTCTCTTTCCTTCCCCAGGTTTCTCCCTCTCTCTCTCCCTCTCTCTCTTTCTCTCTGTCTCTCTGTCTCTGTCTGTCTCTCTCTCTCTCTCTCTCTCTCTCTCTCTCTCTCTCTCTCTCTCTCTCTCTCTCTCTCTGCCTACTTTCAGTAACCCTTCCCATTTAACCATGTCTCCTCGCAGACTGACCTAGCTAGTTGCCAATACTCCTTCAGGTGAGCAGCCGATGAATAATAACAAGTTGTTGTTTTGTTTGATCTCTAATGTGTTTGAAGGTGTTAAACCCTGTGTCATCAATGGGGTCACCTTCCAGCACTTGCAGTTCACCAATGATCCTTGTGGAAGATGTGGTTGTTTTGGCGGACTAGAATACTGCCTCCAGAAGCCATGTATAGTAGGTATTTGGTTCAGTCTAATATGATGCTCTTGTAATTTTCAAGTCCGTCGGATGTCCATTTATTATTCAACCAGTCAGAATACCCGTCTGTCTGGATGTCTGTGTTTCTCATTTATGACTGTCTGCTTGTGTTTATATGTTGGCGCGCCTTTATAAGTTTTAGTCTCTTTAGTCATTTTTCATGTCTGCCTGTCTGTATCTATAAGTTGTCGGCTGTCTGACTATTTGGCTCTTTAATTTTGTATGCACGTCTGACAAACTGTCTCTTTAAAATGGTGTCTCCTTGTCTGTCTCTGTAATGTGGTTGTCTGCCTATCTGTTTATCTGGCACTGTTTGTCTCTCTATCTATTTTACTCTGCAATGTGGTTGTCTGCCTCTCCATCCATATGTCCCTGTAATGTGCTTGTCAGCTTGTCCGTCCATATTTCCCTGTCATGTGGTTGTCTGCCTTTCCGTCCACATGTCCCTGTAATGTGGTTGTCTGCCTTTCCGTTCCACATATCTCGGTAATGTGGTTGTCTGCCTTTCCGTCCACTTATCTCGGTAATGTAGTTGTCTGCTTTTCAGTCCATATATCTCTGTAATGTGGTTGTCCGTCCATATGTCCCTGTAATGTGGTTGTCTGCCTTTCTGTCCATACGTCCCTGTAATGTGGTTGTATGTCTGTCCATCCATATGTCCCTGTACTGTGGTTGTCTGCCTGTCCATCCATATGTCCATGTAATATGGTTGTCTGCCTTTCCATCCACGTGTCCCTGTAATGTGGTTGTCTGCCTTTCCATCCATATGTCCCTGGAATGTGGTTGTCTGTTTGTCAATCCATATGTCCATGTAATGTGGTTGTCTGCCTTTCCATCCATGTGTCCCTGTAATGTGGTTGTCTGCCTTTCCGTCCATATGTCCCTGGAATGTGGTTGTCTGCCTGTCCATCCATGTGTCCCTGTAATGTGGCTGTCTGCCTGTCGTTTCATATGTCCCTGTAATGTGGTTGTATGCCTTTCCATCCATATGTCAATCTAATGTGTTTGTCTGCCTTCCCGCACACATCTCTCTGCAATGTGGTTGTCTGTCCATATGTCCCTGTAATGTGGTTGTCTGCCTTTCAGTCCATTTGTCCCTGTAATATGGTTGTCTGGCTGTCCGTCCACATATCTCTGCAATGTGATTGTCTGCCTTTCCGTCCATATATCTCTTCAATATGGTTGTCTGCCTGTCCGTCCACATATCTCTGCAATGGGGTTGTCTGCCTTTCCATCTATATTTCCCTGTAATGTGGCTGTCTGCCTGTCCATTCATATGTCCCTGTAATGTGGTTGTCTGCCTTTTCATCCATATGTCCCTGTAATGTGGTTGTCTGCCTTTCCATCTTTATGTCACTGTAATGTGGTTGTCTGCCTTTCCGTCCATATGTCCCTGTAATGTGGTTGTCTGCCTTTCCATCCATATGTCCCTGTAATGTGGTTGTCTGCCTTTCCGTCTACTATC